CCCTCCCCCGGCCTCTACGCCCTCTGGATGGGCTCCCACTACGTCGTCGTGGTCAACAGCTACCGCCACGCCAAGGAGGTGCTGCTGAGGAAGGGCAAGGCCTTCGCCGGGCGGCCCCGCACCGTGAGTTGGACACGCAGGGCAGCGGGATACCCCCTGGCCCGGGTGCCCCAGCCCTGGCAAGGCCTGGGGAAGGACCCGGCTCCCGGCAGCAGCCGGTCTCCTCTCCCCGTCCTCCTCCGGAGCAGCGCCATGAAGGGGGGAGCGCCATGGGGACCCAGCCCCACACATCCTTCGTCCCAAGGGTGCCTGATCCTCCCGGGCTGGGCTGCATCTTGGCAAGCAGGGGATGTGGGGTCCTTGCTCTGGTCTTTTGCCAGAGAGGTTGCGGAGTCTCCTCTGCAGATCTTCTAAACCCGCCTGGATGCCACCCTGTGCCACGTGCTCTGAGTGTCTCTGCTGCAGCAGGGCAGTTGGACTAGATGATCTCCAGCAGCCCCTTCCAACCCCAGTCCTGCTGCCATTCTGTGAGCTCTCCATGGGTCTTTGTACCAGCAGGGCGCGAGGAACAGACTCCCGTTGCTCCCTAAATGCCACGGCTGGTCACCCACACCCGCAGACCCCGTCTCTGCCCGGCGCTGATCCTGCATGGCACCGCTCCCCTGAGCACTTGGCACTGGGCAAAGCCTCCCAAAACAACCACTGCCCCAGGCGGCCCCAGGGAGGGGGGCAGCAGCGCCAAGCCACCCTCCTCGCCCCGTCTCATGTAGAGACCCTGCCCTTGTATGTGCGCAGGTGACCACGGACCTGCTGTCGCGGGGGGGCAAGGACATCGCCTTCGCCAGCTACGGGCCCCTGTGGAAGTTCCAGCGCAAGCTGGTGCACGCGGCGCTCTCCATGTTCGGCGAGGGCTCGCTCGCCCTCGAGAAGATCAGTAAGCGCTTCCGCAGCCGGCCCGTGGCCCCGGCACCGCGAGACGGCACCAGCGCCGCCGCGGCCCGCGTGCGGGTGCGGGGAGGGGGCCGTTTTGTGCTCCCTGGGGACTCCCTCGCCCGAGCAGGGGCTTGCGGGGACTCCGGCCTTCTCGCGTCTCCCTCCTGCACGTGGCCGTAGCTGAAGCTTTGCTTTCTGCCCAGGCCTCAGGGAAGCAAGGGGTGGCTGAGGGATGGGGAAGAGGGTCCAGGGCGCTACTGTGACAGCTCAAGCAGCCTCTCTGTGCCCCTGGCCCGGGACTCAGCCCAAGCCCCTCGGCGCCCTGCAGTTTGCCTGGCCCGGGGCTCTGCTGCTCTCTCCCCTCCCGAGTGTTTCCCTGACACGTGGCCTCTCGCGCTCTTCTCCATGTGACCAGAGCTTTGGCCTCGCTCACTGACACCTGGGGAAACTGAGGCCCGGGGTTAGGCCAAGCCTGGCAACGAGCGTGCCCACACATCTGTGCCCCGTGCATGTCCCCGCTGCCTTGGGAACATGCGCGGAGCTGTTCACTAACAGCTGGGAAACACGAATTCCCGGGCTCCCGGCTGCAGCCAGGAGGGAGCGTTGTGCCTCACATAAAGCCCTTGCCGCTCTCTTGTCCTCTCCGCTCCTTCCTAGCCCAGGGACACTGGGCCTTGTCCCTTCGGCCCCTTTGCATCCCTGTGGGCTCAGCCCTGGCTGGAGGTGAGCAGGGGCGCCCGGGCTGCTCCCCGCACCGAGCTCTGCCAGAGGGACACGAGCTCCATCGCCTGTGTCAGCACGAGGCCAGGCAGCCCCAGTCCCAACTGCCCCGGGAACCCCAAACTACCCCCTCTTGCTCCTTGGTGATGCTTTGGGCCCCTCAGTTCCCACATCTCTCCCTCGCCTGCCCTGCAGTCTGCCGCGAGGCTGCATCCCTGTGCGAGACGCTCAGCGCTGCGCAGGACACGGCCCTGGACGTGGCCCCGGAGCTCACGCGGGCTGTCACCAACGTGGTCTGCTCGCTGTGCTTCAACTCCTCGTACCAGCGCGGGGACCCCGAGTTCGAGGCCATGCTGGAGTACAGCCAGGGCATCGTGGACACCGTGGCCAAGGAGAGCTTGGTGGACATCTTCCCCTGGCTGCAGGTGAGTGCGGAGGACTCACCCAGCAGGGTGGGATGTGTCTCACAGATGCGGCTACCTGAGCCCTCAGGGTTAGAGGGGTCCTTGCAGAGGTGTTCCACAAAGACAATATTATGGTGTGTGCAAAGAGGTGGACACCTGGCTGAGCTGGAGACCTTTGTGTGACCACGTTTTTCTCCCCCCAGATCTTCCCTAACAAGGACTTGGCCTTGTTGAAGAGGTGCCTCAAGGTCAGGGACCAGCTGCTCCAGCAGAAGTTTGCTGAACACAAGGTGATGGTGGGACTAGGATGGGGTGACGCTGGGGTGCTGGCCATGGGGCACATGCCCTGCACAGCACGGCTCACGTGCGGCCCCTGGCAGGAAGCCTTCTGCGGTGACACCGTGAGGGACCTCATGGACGCGCTCCTGCAAGTGAGGCTGAGCGCTGAGCGTGGCAGTGCCCCGGCGCTGGGGCTCTCGCTGACGGACGACCACCTGCTCATGACGGTGGGGGACATCTTCGGGGCCGGCGTGGAGACCACCACCACCGTGCTCAAGTGGGCTGTGCTCTACTTGCTTCACTACCCTGAGGTAGGGCCTGTGCCCAGCCCATGGGGCAGCCTGGGGGCATCGGGAGGGTTTTGGGGTGGGCAGAGGCCAGGCTTTGGCAGCAAGCAGGATCAAAGTGTGAGTCTCTGTTTCTGCCCAGATTCCCACTGGGGCACTGCTGGCGGTTCCAGGCAGACACCACTGCCATGGGGAGGCCCCATGCATGTGGGAACCCCTTCTCCAGGACTAAGCCCTTCCCCTTGTCCCCCTTTCAGGTGCAGAGGAAGATCCAGGAGGAGATGGACCAGAAGATCGGCTTGGCCCGTCACCCCCACCTGAGCGACCGCGCGCTGCTGCCCTACCTGGAGGCCACCATCAGCGAGGTGCTGCGCATCCGGC